TACAAGTCATATCGATTTTTAACCACTTACAAATAGTACCACAAAACGATAGGAATGCACTTTCTTCAGCATCACGCATGAACCAAAACAACGACATGCAACGAAGCCCTTTTTCTCGCGTAGCGTATCAATCAAAAACACTGATGCAACATATGCCCAAATGATAGTACAACCACACATCGCAAAATTTTGTTCTCAGAGCTACCACTGTTTAGCCCACGATGAGCCGCCAGATTGGATCCCTCAACCTTTCACTTTCCTATCCCTCCAACCTACACCTACAAGATTCCCTCTTATCCACCTCAGACCTCACCTCTTCTCTCCTACCCATTTTTAGCCCCAGTTTTTCAACGAACTCATCTCAAATGAACTCTGACAATTCAATTCCAACTGTTTTAACACTATTTCTACTTCAAATAGCACACCAAATGATACATCCGATGACTTTTTAGATTCTGAAACCAACCACACTAATTTCTCACAGGCCAATTTATCAACCGACACTTCCCCCTGCCCCTGTAGTACTCTCCACTTCCAGCTCCTCTCTCACGAATGCTACCCATTTTCTTTCCCACTTCAACCTAAGAATCATGCAAATCATCCATTTGCAATGCCCCCACCCGGGCACAACGCGTCCTTATGGAACAAAAACACACCAATAACCTGCCACAATTTATATCAATCGCCCGTCATCATCCCAATTTTATCGAAGTGATAACCACCCGTCACACTTATACGCCATAAGATATAGTTGAAAACCTTCTTTTCTTCCCCAAAATACAATAAACAACTTAGAAACCCAGGCCCAAAAAACAAAACGTCGTGGAATTTTCCATCTCTAGAAGGAGTTCCTCGACGAATATCCAACCAGTTAAAATCCCCTTTTAGAAAAACTTCCAAAAATTTAAGTTCAATTACAAACTATATAACCTAATCCAAAAGACCAACTCCGAATTTTCTGCCACAGCTGAAGAAGTTGACATCATCAGCGCACTAGAATTTCTTCGGCCTATTTTACGTACTAAAACTTTCATTCGATTGCTTGCAAAAGTTTTAACACACTCACATATTTCATTCACCAATTTTGAACGTGTGTTTCACCATTTCTGTTTTTATTTGGTCAGTATTTTTTCTGAAACAGTATATAGACAGTATTGTTTTAAATATTTTTACGAAAAACTAATTTAATAATGAGTAACAAATGAAGTAACTAACTTTTTTATGTGTGTGAATTGTGGTAAATTTTTGATTTAATTTTTGACTCATCCACATTTCACGCACACTTTTCATCCAGTTTAGAGTCACTCACCACCGTAGAATTTGCTTAAAGGTAAATTTCTAGCTTAGCAAACTGGCGGATAACAAATTACAAATTATAAAACCTTATACAAAACACTAACCACGAATTTTCCGTCTAACCTGAAGAAATTGACATCATCCACGCAATAGAATTTCTTTGGTCTCATTCACGCACTTAAAACGTCATTCGAATACTTGCAAAATTTTTGACTAACTCACCCACAAAAAATAAACTTCCCCAATGTTTTTTTCGTAACACGGCTCTCAGTAAGGTTAATTTTATAGATTTCACTGATTAATTGTCAATATTTCATTCACGTTTTTTGCATGTGAATTTCACCATTTCTGTTTATACTTCGCCTTTAATTTTTCTGAAAACATTATATAGAATGAATGCTAACTATTCGTTACAAATCTATGTAGTGCATAAAAACTTACAATGCAATACTAACAAGGTTGTAATACACTCATGCAAAAAACACAGTTGATAATGAGTAGTAAGTGAAATGAAATAACCTTTTTATGAGTGTTTACTGTTCGACTCGTCCACATTTCACTAACTCTTTCCACCCAGCGTTAAGTCACTCGCCACCGTAGAATTGGTTTCAAGTACATTTCTAGTTTAACAAACTAGCTGATAACAACTCTAATTCTCTCTCTGCGTTTTAAGCTTTCCGTTAACCCGATTGAAAGGGAAAATGAGCTTAATCTAGCCAATGCAGCTGACTAAAGCCGCCAAATCAACCACACGGAAACCAGATTAAACCCAGATCAAACTGGATAAATTATTTTTTTTTGAACTTTGATTTAAGTTCTTATCAAAACGAAAGGAAAAGTAAAAACCCTCAAAGAATATTAAAAACAAAAAACTGTTTGTTTTTAAGAAAAGAACACAAACAACGAACAAAAGAGAAAACACCTAAAAAAAGAAAATAGAACGGTTGAACACGAAGAGAGACCCTTCTCACAGAGACGGTAAAAAGTACACACTCCTCTGGTCTCACCCACCAGACGGCGTCACTCGATGTACACGTGCTCACCATTTACTAGACCCCGACCCTCATTTGTTGCTACAAGTAGTTCTAGTGTAAGCATTTTTCAAAAAGTATATCCAAACTAGTTGAAATGCTTGTCAACTAACAATTATCAGAACAAAAACTGAATTCACTAAACAGTTGTATATAATTACACACATATATAGTATAGATATATAGATATATAATGTGAGAGATTTCTCAGAGCAGAAAAAGGGAGATGAAAACTCGACGATATTCCAATTCTGGAATAGCATATCTATTGGTTTTGCCTGCCGCAGTCACAACCTTCACAGAATTTCAAGTATGGAGGCATTATCGCGACAAAGGTATCCCTTAAAGAAGAGCAAAGGCCAACTCGATAATTGATTAAGAAATACAGATCCTAGTCATTTGGCGCCTCACTCAGAGATGTCAAACCCTCTCCCACTATTTGATGATTAGTTGAGAATGCACGAAGTCTCGCTGTACTTAACGACATCGACACATCACTATATCAATCTTCAAACTTGGCATAAACCATCAACTCCTCGACAATATACGCAGTTTTTTCACTTTTCACGAACAACTGTTTATGTTTTCTCTCTTCGAAGACAACAACTGTTTCACGATCAAAGCAAATGTTTATTTTCTCTTTTCACTGATTCCAATGAATCTACTTAAGAAGAAATCAAGAAACTTCTCCATTTATCCTTCACAAGAACAAATTTAAAACTTAATATATATGTGTGTGTACACTAGGTAGAACTGTGTTTATTATATCTAATTATATACTTGATAAAACACTTGAAACTAACCAATCAAGATCCATGACTAAAAGTTAAATAAATTGTAAGGCTGAAACTATTTTTAAGTTTAGCCAGAGAAGAATAGTTTTATCTTACCAAACAGTTGCTTCCTTCTTGATTCCAACCTCGCAACACTACAAATATGTACTAGATATATTGAGACTAGAATTATAAGAGAAAATTAGGATCGATTTTAGAACAAGAAGTTGCACGAATCTATCCGGCCGAATATAGGATACCGTGACGAACAGGCGGTGTACCTTATCCAAAACTACTGTATGAGAAATGTCAAATTTCAATTTTGACCTTTCTGAGTGAATCATCAGCAGACAAAATATCTATTTGACGAATATGGTCTCTCAGTCATGGATTTAGCAGTTTTTTATTGAGGGGGCTGGTCTTTCAAAAAGTTTCGGAGTTTTCGTGGTACTTCTTTTTAGTTGTCTAAGAACACTTTTATTATTCGACACTCAAAATTATTTCTGCGCAGTAGGCAGATTTTTTTGAAAAAAATATCAGGCCAATAACAAATGTTTGAAATTAAAGTCACAAAATTAAGAACAATATGGTGGGGGAAGACCTGAGACATGCATAAACGTACAGTTTGAGAAGATCTTTGAATATCAAATCAATAGCTTTGCACAGTTAACCGAAGTTTTGCAAACCTAAGAAACAACCACAAATTAATAATTAAATATAAGCAGATAGTCATCATGAAGCTACAAAATTTAATTCCTACGTACTTTATTAGATTGTGAGCTTCAAGATTTCGTGGTGAGGAGGAAGGAACTCGGGTTACATATAAAGGGAATTCTGTGCCAGGAACTTACATTTTGTGCCCAGGAACTCAAAAGAATCCAGGACAATTTTAGGATCAATCATCCAAAAATGAATGTACAAGTTACTAAAAGAGAGAACCCCTGGTCCCAAGAATGTAGAGCCGCTGAGATGGGGGGAGGGGGCGTCCAAGACCTTCTTTATCCGCCCCTGACTCGAATCAACTGTCAATTACTCTTTTTCAGATCTAAACTTCAGATCTGAAATAGGTTATGGAATGTCTAATTAACGCTTGGATACTTTCAGATCTGAAATTTTGTTTTTCTTAGATATTTCAGATCTGAAAAATCAATGATTCTGACACAACTTTTGCTTTTTTACTTAGTATTTGATAGCTTTTGATAGCAACTAGCAGGTACTAGGCAAATTTTCAAGTTGTAGACTGCCAAAATATATTTTCCCAAGCATGAGAAAAACATTGAAAACGCATAAGTAGCACAAAAATTTCAAAAAAATAACGGATGTTCTAACCGTTTCTGAGAACTTTTAACACAGTACCTTGGGTACGGGTATATAAACGTCTGAACTATGTTCGTCGACTTTTAAGTACAACGAGCACAAATGTGTAATTCTGCATTTATAAATAACTTGCGCTCACGTCCTAAGCTTTTCAGATAACTCTACCTGAAGGTTTTATCCAGTATGGCAAAATTGGCAGTTTTTAAACATTTATTTCGAAAAAATAAATCTTTAAAGCTGTTTGAATTTCACAAACAATTCAAGAATGGTGCTTTTTGATGAAATTAACCCAATATTGGAAAGCTGGATCAATAGGTACTGTTGAAGCCTAAAAAAGACATTTCAGCTTTCTACTTGAACTAAATCTACGATTGAACTGATTTGCTTATTTAAAACCGCATTTTTACAAAAGTCAATTGACTTCTATCTATAACTCGTGAAATAATTTACACTCTTTGCAAATCACTAGTTTTATTCAGTCGGATTGGTGATTTTTCATTTCCCAACTTTTGCTGCACAACATTTTTGGTGCAACGCGACTCACGAACGAACCAAAGATTAGAAACAAAGAGGAAAGTTAAAAATGTCATCACCTGCTAGTGACATGAGCAACGTGACGCTCACTCTTCCTGCTTTGAAGCGATCAAGAAGTGCTAACATCGGTGTCATTACCCGATCGGAAAATGCCGTCTCAGCAATCTTCGACAAAGAGGCATCTGCTCTAACTTACAAGGAAATTGGAACTCTCAAGGCCAATCTCACGATGTGCGAACGAAAGAAAAAGAAACTGGGAGAGCTTAATCAGCAAATTTCAAGTTTTCTAAACGATGATGAAGATGCACTTGAAGTTGAGTTGGAGGAAGCTGAGAAAATCTACCTTCAAGTAGATTGTTTGATGGAAATGATCACAACTATGTTAGATGACCGAGGGAAATGTTCAACTGAATCGGTCAAAGATGACGACAGCGCAAGCGGAACCGGATCCTACAAATCCACTTCCCAACGTGGTGCTGGTCGAAAACAAGATACTTGCCTGAAGTTGCCGAAACTGAATTCGCCAACATTTAGCGGAAGGTATGATCAAGGGCTACCTTTTTTAGATTCCTTTGATGGAGCAGTTCACTCAATTGCATCGCTGTCTGATGTTCAGAAACTGCAATACCTAAAGGGTGCCCTCAAGGATGAACCGTTTCGTTTGCTATCCCACTTGCCTACTACAAACGCGAACTACTCAGTCGCAAGGGAACTTCTAAAGGATCGATATGCTGATGTCAAGATGATCTCACACGCTCACTTGGAAGCAATTTTTGAATTCACCCCAATGAAGCATGAGTCATCCGCTGCAATACGTCGCTTGATTAACACCTACACGGAAAACACGATGGCACTGACAGGACTTGGACTAAAAATTGATCAATGCGATTTGATCTGGGTTCACGTTTTGGTCAAGAAATTAGATCCTGAAACTAGAAGACAATGGGAACTTTCCTGCGCGGGAAGTGACATGCCAAAAATCAAGCAGATGAAGAAGTTCTTGGAGGAACGATCTCGCGCCCTAGAAGCTACGAAGGACCTCCAGTTACCTTCAATTCATAGAAAAAATCATCAAGGAAGTTCAGACCAATCTGGAAATTCTAAGAAAGATGACAAGGTACAGACATACCACACGAACTCTGCTAAGACGATCAGCTGCCCATGCTGCAGTGGTGATCACCGCGTGTATCAATGCACAAAATTTCAGGAAATGTCTATTTCCAATAGAAGACAAGAAGCCAAATCAAAGCGATTATGCTTCAATTGCCTGTCCCTTGGACACCAAAATCATGAGTGCAAGTCGAAGTCAACGTGCCAAACCTGTCGAAAGGGTCACCACACGTTACTTCACATCCATACAGACCCAAACAAGCAACCCGGACCTGAAAATAAGTTTACGGGTCATGGGGGTACTAGTACATGTGCCACTACCATACTGGGAACTGTACTAATTGAGGTGAAAACTGCAAATGGCGGTTATCACAATTGTCGAGCCTTACTGGACAGCGGATCTGAATGCAGTTTCGTTACAACCAGCTGTGCTAACCGACTCAAGCTACCAATCAAGAAATTGACTCTTCAACTAACTCGAGTTGGCGGAGGAGCAAAAACTGTGAAATCTGGTTCTGTCAATCTGGAAGCAAAGGATTCTCAGAATCAATCTCTACATATTGAAGCCTTCACTCTTCAAAAACTTTCTGGCTACCTGCCCAGAGAACGGGTGAATATACCGAACAGTTTGGATATCACACGTCTTAAGCTCTCGGACCCAGACTTTGACAAACCAAAGGAAATCGATATAATCCTAGGCTGTGATGTCTACAACGACATTGTTGGCTGCGAAAAGATTAAGCTTACAGACAAGCTTTATGCACGTGACACTCTATTTGGTTGGATGATTAGCGGCAGAACACCCGGTCCTCCAACAACCTTCTTCAAGTCATTTCATGTGTCTATTGACAATAGTCTAAGGAAATTTTGGGAATTAGAAGAAATTCCTGATTTCAAAAAGACAACAACAGAAGAAGATCGATGTGAATCTCACTTTAAGGAAACAACCATACTACAAAATGGACGATTCACTGTGCAGCTGCCTTTCAAGCCCAATAGTTAACTTGGCGACAGTTTAGCACAAGCAAAACGCAGATTCAATTATCTCGAGCGACGACTGGAACAGAATCCAGAACTTAAAGATCGCTATACCGCATTCATAGACGAATTTCTCGATATGGGGCATATGGAGTATATACCGCCTGGAGAAATCAAAAAGCCAGTTGATAGCGTATTTTATCTGCCACATCACTGCGTTTTTAAGGAAGATTCTACTACCACAAAGCTACGTGTAGTTTTCGACGGATCTGCAACAACATCAACCGGACAATCACTCAACGACACTTTGATGGTTGGTCCCACAGTACAAGACGACCTCTACTCGATAATCATGCGCTTCAGGTTCTACCCAATTGCTTTGTCAGCAGATATCGCAAAAATGTACCGACAAGTTGCTCTAGAGGACAAATCGAAGGATTTCCATCGCATACTTTGGAGATCAAATAAATCGGATGAAATCAAGCATCTCAGGATGACACGTGTTACATATGGAATAGCTTCGTCATTGTTTCACTCAACAAGATGCCTCAATGAAGTAGCAAATCAATCTAAGAACCCAATGATCAAAGAAAGTCTCAAAAATTGTTTCTATGTAGACGACTTTCTTGGTGGCGCTAATGATAAGCATGAAGCAGAAAGACTCATCTCTGATTTGTGCGAAGAGCTGAACTCTTATGAATTCCCTCTACGAAAATGGACTTCAAGCAATGCTAAAATAATTGAAGGATTGCCAGAACATCTCCGCGAAAAATCGGATGTGCTGGAACTTTTCTCTGACGAATACAAAATCAAGGCGCTAGGAGTCAGTTGGAAGCCCAACAAGGACATTTTTTGTTTTTCAACAGCCTTACCAGAGCTGAAACTGCTTACAAAGAGGACTATTCTGTCCACAATCTCAAAATTGTTTGATCCGATGGGATGGCTAGCTCCATTCATCATCAATTTCAAATGTCTCATGCAACAACTATGGGTCCAAGGTTTTGATTGGGATTCTGAAGTCGATCAGAAAACCAAGGAAAAATGGTATGAGCTCACCGGAACATTGCCTCAACTACTGAAACTACGAATACCAAGATCTATGAGCTCACATCCAATAAAGGAGGTTCAACTTCACGTATTCTGTGATGCTTCCGAAAAAGCATATGCAGCCGCAATCTATGCAAGAATTACCAATGATGATGGCAAAACTTTTGCATATCTACTAACCTCCAAAACAAAGGTTGCTCCGGTCAAAGTAATCTCTGTTCCCAAATTAGAGCTCTGCGGTGCAAGTTTAGCTACCAAACTTCTTAAATCAGTTCATTCAATTTTGAGGAAAACAAATCTCAAGATAACTTCACACGCCTGGACTGATTCAACAATTGTCTTGCAATGGCTTGCTCAACTTCCAAGAACGTGGAACACTTTTGTTGCAAACAGAGTTTCACAAATACAAGAGACCCTACCCAGAAGTGATTGGAAACACGTGCCAACAGCAGTAAATCCAGCTGATTTAGCCTCTCGTGGTGTATTAGCTGACACATTAATATGTTCCTCACTCTGGTGGAATGGACCAGATTGGCTGACCAAAGATGAAAGGCACTGGCCCAACCTACAACCATCTCTAGTTGAAGCACCTGAAAAACGAACCGTCAAAGCCAAGACTAATGCAGAAAGTGAACAAATTCGAACTGTTCTCGCAAATCATGCTCAAAACGAAGAAATGACGGATGGAATTTTTCATTTAAAGAACTACAGCACTTGGAACAAGACAGTACGCATCGCATGCTATGTACTATCATTTGTTCAACATCTTAAGCATAGAGTATCGACAAACTATCGGAAGCGGCTCAGATCTAAGCGGACATCTGATGTACAACTTGAAGAAGATTGTCTTAGTCCTAAAAATAAAATTATGGCAAAAATGCTAATTTTTCGTTTAGACCAAGAAATACACTTCAAATCAGAGCTAAATTGTCTAAAGGTGAAAGGGGAGCTGAGTAAAACATCGAAACTACTCAATCTTAGTCCGTTTTTCGACAAGGATTACGATCTACTAAGAGTTGGAGGCAGACTTTCACAATCGAACTACCCAACAGACAAGAAGTTTCCAATACTCGTTTCGAAAAAATCTGATTTAGTATCCCTACTTATACGCAAATATCATGAAGATACTCTTCATGGCGGGGGGCAATTAGTACTGAACACAATGAGAGAGGAAATTTGGATAATCGGAGGTCGTGATCTAGTTCGACAGTTCATTAGAAGATGCATGAAATGTGTCCGATTTAGTCAGCAACCTACTTCTCAATTCATGGCTGATCTTCCTACAGAAAGAATACAGAAAGAGACAAGCAGAGGTCTCAAAAATTTATGTTGCCGTCTTTGTTTGTCTCGCGACAAAAGCTATTCATTTGGAAATGGTTACTCGTCTAACCAAAGAAGCATGCATCCTTTCATTGAAACGATTTACTGCACGCCGTGGCAAACCTGAGAAGATCTTAAGTGACAATGGAAGCAATTTTATCGGGGCTCGAAATGATCTGATCAAAATCAAGGAACTGCTCGACAAAAATGGAACGGACAAATCAGTTGTTAGTTTCGTCAATAGCCAAGGAACTGAATGGGTCACCATCCCTCCTCGTGGTCCTCACTTCGGAGGACTCTGGGAAGCAGCTGTAAAAAGTATGAAGAGACATATGCGAAAAGTTATAGGATTGCAACGTCTCAGTTTTGAAGAATTTCTTACAATTCTTAATCAAATTGAAGTTGTCTTAAAATCACGACCATTGTATCCAATATCAAGTGATCCTAACGACCCAACTCCGCTGACACCCGCTCATTTTCTGATAGGGGAATCATTGCTAACTCTTCCCTCTGCGGACATCCAAGTTTCAACCAATGTACGATATCGACTATTACAGAATATGATCAAGGATTTCTGGAAAGTTTGGAAAAGGGATTATCTCATAACGCTACAAATACGGAAAAAATGGTTCACGGATGGCCCAGAATTTAAAGTTGGCAACCTAGTCCTACTTGCCGAAGACAATGAACGACCGCTAGAATGGAAAACTGGACGAATCATAGAAGTTTATCCTGGAAATGACTCAGTTGTTCGAGTGGTAAAAGTGAAGACCACAACTGGTGAATACGTACGCCCAGTCGCGAAGCTGCGGAAGCTACCAGTATAGCAACCAAGTCATATCCAATGTGCAGTTCATTTAAAACAAGAACTTTATAGTGCTAAAAAATCGAAAAATATCAAAATGTGCAGTTTTCAAATTTTAAGAAGTAGTACCCCCATGACCCTTTTGAGAGTAGGAACCTAAATTACCCCCTATGCAATGCATTATGGTCTGAATCGTTCATATTGACCACTTTCATGTAAATTCCCAATGTTGTATGTTCATAAAAGTCGAAAATGATGTAAATTTTCATCAATTTTTGTGCTAAATCGTGCATTAAAATTCGTATGAGGTTGTACCCTCATGACCCAAAATGTAATTATTGCCTGAAAACAGCTAGGATACGCCTACGCTACTGTCTTGAATTTAACAATAGGCTCTCTGATCACGTCAAACTGTTAGAATGTTATATTTGCCTTTAAATTATATTCAAAGATGTCGTATTGTAATGATTTATAACCATTAATTCGCATAAAAATGTTTTTTCTAAGTACACAAACTTTCGCTCATGACTCGTACCGTTAATACTTCACTTGTATACTCCTTACTTATGGTGCAGTCACATTTAGTTCATTTATTGAATAACTGTTAACATATTTACCGTTGAACAGTCATCTGGTCCTCTTCGCTTGTTGACCCTGCAGTGTTGCTGGCAGCGCTTCCACGCAGATGCTACCAAGGAAAGTCTAGTTTGCATCTCCGCATAGTACATACAGCAGACCCTCTCTTCGTCGCAGAGAGTCAGAACTGCATGGCACCACGCATATGGAAGATACAAACTTTTCCCCTCCTCAAGAACACCATAGTGGATCAGTTTCTTCTGCCGAGGACCAAGGTTCCTCAGATACTTAGCAGCATCAGTGAACACCATCTCCGAATCATTGCTACCGGCCAGGCGCTCAAGTTCACCAGAGAGATTAACTTCAGATGTCATCAGCCACAACTTTCGGCCCCCCAGAAGACACAAAACAGCATCATCTTCCTCCTCCAAGTCTTGATGGAAAGTCCGGAAGGACGAGGACTCTACAAAAATACCTTGGAGAAGAGAAGAAAAGACCTGCTTTGGCCATCTGGTCTGACCTCCAGACATGACGCCAATAACACCCTTAGCTGTCACACTAGGAGTCTCTCGACAGTTAACTCCAACCTCCCAGCCAGTGAACAATGACCCTTCTACGTTGAGGTCACTGATACGTTTAAGACCTCTAAGTTGCTTCTAAAACAAAACAAACAATTGATGCACATCCGCTATACTCTACTAATATGATACAATGGAATAAATGCTACTCACAGTCTCAGCTTTCGGAAACCGCAGAACTGCCCTATCCACGATTGCAGCTTCCTTCCTTGAAGACTGGATCTCATCCAACGACTTTACAGGAATCGGAGTGAAGGAATCGGAGTGAAACCCAGATCTCCTCTGGTCACTGCATCGAAGAAACCCTGCAGGTCCTCCCGGTCGACAGCGCCCCGCCTACTGGACCTTCGCACCTCGCCATGTGGAGGCAGACGTGGTGCTCTGCCCGACTCCGCCCTGCTATTTCTCTCCTTTGTCTCGTGCACTGTGAATGGATAGTCGTACCCAGACATAACAACGATCTGAAAAATTGAAGATACTTCCAGGGAGGCGGAATGTTGAAGCCTAAAAAAAAACATTTCAGCTTTCTACTTGAACTAAATCTACGATTGAACTGATTTGCTTATTTAAAACCGCATTTTTACAAAAACCAATTGACTTCTATCTATAACTCGTGAAATAATTTACACTCTTTGCAAATCACTAGTTTTATTCAGTCGGATTGGTGATTTTTCATTTCCGAACTTTTGCTGCACAACA